TTTTTTATATAATGCACACTCACATGTAACAATCCATAAAATAGCAGTGTATAATACCAGGTCCACTGTCGCTCGCCGTATCTCGTAATGGCGTCGTGATGTCAGAGCCCCTCCCCTATGCGTTACGCCACAGGGTCACGTGGCTTCCTCAGGGGGAATCAATTGGACGCCACCTCACCATGCTCTTTATATAGGCCATCCAGGCACCATTTTTCCGGAGTCCGTGTTGCGCGGCCATTTTTCAAGTGTCATTTATTACCATAGACGTTATTGTGGAATAAACTAAATGAATTCTGACTATTGATGTCACATAATATAGACAGATACGGACCTGGCACCACTAATCACACTAAAACCAACACAGATCAACAAACATTTAAAATCATGTACATATATATATAGCATACATATGAAAGAATCTAATATTATCCAACTTTATCATAAACAATCTACCCTCTAACAGATAATTCATACCCTAAATAGACTATATCAATAATCATTACTACTCTAACCAATTATTTATTAAAATATTAGTATATTAAAACATAATAAAATATATACAGTTGTGTCCAAAATTATTCAACCCCCACTGAAATTGAGTGTTTTGGCCAGTTGACATTGCTTTTGATCATTCAGTCATCTTGCTTACATTTACATTAAAGAGGCACTTGTAGGTCAGACAAATATAACATAACAGTTATAATGAAATAACCACAAATGTCTTTTCTGTGCTCACAGCATTATCAGTTTTATTCAACCCCAAGTGACATTCAATCTTAGTACTTAGTACAGCATCCTTTTACAGTTATAACAGCTTTTAAACGTGAAGCATAGCTTGACACAAGTGTCTTGCAGCGATCTACGGGTATCTTCGCCCATTCTTCATGGGCAAAGGCCTCCAGTTCAGTCACATTCTTAGGCTTGCGCACTGCAACTGCTTTCTTTAAGTCCCCAGAGGTTCTCAATCGGATTTAAGTCTGGTGACTGCGATGGCCACTCCAAAATGTTCCAGCCTTTCCTCTGCAACCATGCTCTAGTGGACTTGGAGGTATGCTTGGGATCATTGTCCTGTTGAAAGGTCCAACGTCTCCCAAGCCTCAGGTGTGTGACGGACTGCATCACGTTTCCATCCAATATCTCCTGGTACTGAAGAGAATTCATGGTACCTTGCACACGCTGAAGCTTCCCTGTACCTGCAGAAGCAAAACAGCCCCAAAGCATGATTGACCCTCCACCATGCTTCAGTAGGCAAGGTGTTCTTTTCATCATAGGCCTTGTTCTTCTCCTCCAAACATAGCGTTGATCCATGGGCCCAAACAGTTCTAATTTTGTTTCATCAGTCCACAGAACACTATCCCACAACTTTTGTGGTTTGTCCACATGGCTTTTGGCATACTGCAGTCGACTCTTCTTATTCTTTGGAGACAGCAAGGGGGTACGCCTGGGAGTTCTGGCACGGAGGCCTTCATTACGCAGTGTGCGTCTTATTGTCTGGGCTGAAACTTCTGTACCCACATCTGACAAATCTTTTCTCAGTTCCTCAGCAGTCACACGGGGACTTCTCTCCACACTACGCTTCAGGTAGCGCACAGCAGTCGAAGTCAGCATCTTCTTTCTGCCACGACCAGGTAGCGTTTCAACAGTGCCCTTTGCCTTGAATTTGCGAATGATGCTTCCTAAGGTGTCTCTTGGTATGTTTAAACATCTTTGCAATCTTCTTATAGCCATTGCCCTTCCTGTGAAGAGAAATCACCTCTTCTCTTGTCTTCCTGGACCATTCTCTTGCCTTCACCATGTTTGTAACCACACCAGTAAATGTCTAGAAGGAGCTGAGTATCACAGTCATTTTAAAGCTGCCTAATTGGTGCTTATTATGCTTGATTGCTGCTCGGTGACATCCACAGGTGTTTTCAATACCTGATGGAAAGCACCTGTATGAACCTCTGTTCTTCAGAGTGGTAGTCTTTAAGGGGTTGAATAATTGTGGCAATGAAGAAACCACATAAGAACCATTTACTACTGTATTACATAAACAATTGATGTCATTTTAGTTGCATTTGGGTAGTTACAACGTCCTTGTAGGATTTGATTCTGAATACAATTCCAAATGTACACTATAGTCCCTAAACCCCCTTTACAGCATTGGGGGTTGAATAATTTTGGACACAACTGTACTAAAATACATAGAGAGGTAACCTAATTAGAATAAAGAAAAAATAATAAAATTAAAATAAAATAAATAAATAAAAAGATAAAAATGAAAAATAAAAAGATAAAAATAAAAATATAAAAAAAGAAAAAGATAAAAAAAAAAAAAAAAAAGAAAAAAAATTAAAAGCGTAGGGGAGGGGCTCTGACGCCACGATGCCATTACGAGATACGGCGAGTATAGACAGTGGACCTGGTATTGTACACTGCTATTTTATGGATTGTTACATGTGAGTGCGCATTATATAAAATAAAGCTACATTGTTTATAAGGAGGATAAGGCACTATTATTGCTTCCTCTTGCATTACACGGCATTATACCAAGAGGTGGAGTCAGCTACTAGATCCGCACAGTAAGAGGGATATCTGTTCTCCCATCCACCCACTAAGGCAGAGTGGTTTTGGAGAGAAGAGAGGGAGATCCCTAGTGGGAGGAAGCTGGTACTACAATACATCCATCTACAGGAGGATCATATCTGTTCTATATGGAAAATACCACCTAGTCCTATAAGGACAAAAAGTGTTATTAGCCATACTAATAGTTTGGCTAATACAGGAGGTGAGCAGACACCCATTATTTGACACTGAGAGTGGATCACGGCACAGTGTTGCACATTGCTAATATTGAAAGCACAGAGTGGACTATTATGTTTTATATGCACTTCCACACAGTTCTGCACTGTTTGAAGCACTTTTTCAGCACTTTATCTTCTGTAGCTTCTATCTGAATTCCCTTTACATCTATATTCTTCCTTATTGTTGCCAACAAGGGTTCCAATGACAGAACATACAGCAATGGGGGCAATGGACAGCCCTGTCTTGTTCCATTTGACATCACAATGGGCTCTGACCTCTACCCATTTACCATATTAACAGCGGAGGGCTCCCTGTACAACTTTCCTATCCACTCTCTCATTCTAACTCCCATCCCCAGGACTTCCAGAGTGTCCATCATGAAGCCCCAATCAACTCTATCAAATGCCTTTTCGGCATCGATTGAAAGCGCCACCTCTGGAGTTTTCCCTGTTCTTTTTTTCTGAATGAGCATCAGGGATCTCAACCCATTGTCTCTACACTCCCTCCCTGGAACAAAGCCCACCTGATCCCCATGTATCCATTCGGACATTAAATCTTTCAGCCTATTTGCTAAGACCTTTGGGAATAACTTAGTATCTGTGTTCAGTAATGAAATTGGTCTATAACTAGAGCACTGGGAAGCATCTTTTCCTTCCTTATGTATTAGCACCACATGAGCCTGTAGGGATTCTCGCCTCACATCCATCCCTCCTCCCAAAGCATTCATGTATATTTTCAATTTAGGTATTAATAATTCACTATATTTTTTATAGTAACTGTCAGGAATGGACTCGCCACTGGTGGTGGGACTCACCTGCCATGTGGGCTGCAGTACCAGTGCTGGCCAGCGGGTGCTCTCAGCACCCAGAATCTCACTCCTGCAGTCAAGCCATCACCTGAGGCTGATTGCAGGAGGTGTATTTAAGCAGGACCAGGCCTGCAATCAGTGCCTTGGTGTATTGTGTTCCCATGAGCCCCTGTGCCTGAACCTGTCATCTGCCTGCCTTCCTTATCCCTCTGCCAGACTCCTGACATTGATAGAACTCTGCCTGCACCGACCTCGGCTATTCCTGACCACTCTCCTGCCTGCTCCTCTGATACCTTGCCTGCCTGATTGTTCCTGACACGGCCCATCTGACTACGCTCTGCCTGCTCCTTTGTACCTTGTCTGCCCGATGGTTCCTGACCCGGCCTGCCTGACCACTCCACCTTACCAGCCCTGACTACTCTTGTCTGTGTGCTTGTACTTTCCATTAGTTGGAGGTTTGGTTTTGTTTATATTGTGTGTTTATGTTTTTGTATAGCCTCTAATAAATTATATTGTTTACACCATATTTGAGCCTGCGTTTCCCTGTGTTAGCCCACACACCTCTGGTCATACCTGGAGCCCTGACATTACACCAAGGCCAATCCTGACCAGAAGTGGCTGCACAGGGAAGCCATTTTGGCTTGTTGTTGTGAAGGATGCATCCTGAGGAGGTTGTGTACTTGTCCCTGTTAGTCTTAGAAGAGAGAGAATTTGGCAATCAGATTCTGAAGGAGTATACCAGGGATCAGCTGCTAGAATGCATACAAGTTGCTCATTCACTAGTAGATCAGGGCACAGAGTTTTCTGAGGTGCAGCCATTGATCCAGGTTTGTGTTGAGTTGGCTCTGTCCTGTACCCCTGAAAACAGGGATGACTTTTTTCCACCATTTAGTGCAGATCAAGTGAAATCACTGGTATGGTTGTTGGAGGATGATCCAGATTGCTTCCCTGAGCATTATGCAGCTTGTCCATCACATGTGCTTGTGGATTGCATAAATGCAGTGGAGTCTTTGGTCAGACAGGCTACGTGTAAGCTAAGCTTTGTTCAACCGGTATTACAGACATGGTCAGATTTGTTACATCCAGCCTCAGTCAGCTTGCCAAAACTCAGTCCTGCTTCTAATCTATTTTTTCAAAGCTCTATTCCTGCATTCCCGACAGCACCTCCAGTTCCAGCCCAGTATACCCTGCCATTAACCACATGTCAGTCCCCTGTTCCCACTCGCTGCACCTATCCTGTCTTTAACCCTGTAAAGAAGTCCTCTGTAGCAACTGCTCCCTCCTCTGTTCCATCCTCCAGCTCTTCTCTGTCTTCAGCTGCTCCCTCCGTTTACAGACCTGCATTTACTTACACTGCTTCAGTAACTAAACCCAAAAAGAAGCGAAAATTCTTTCCAACCAGTACCATCCTGCCAGTATCCAAATCGGTCAGCCTGCCGTCTGAGAAACCGCCTTCTGTTACCCAGCCTGATGATCCTACCCAGCCTGATGATCCTAGCCAGCCTGATGACCCGATCCAGCCTGATGACCCGGTGTTCGTGATCCAGCCTGATGACCTGATCCAGCCTGATGACTCGATCCAGCTTGGTGCCCGTGGTCCAGCCTGGCGCCCCGGTGCCCGTGGTCCAGCCTGGTGCCCCGGAGCCCGCTGTTATGCCAGATGACTCGGTGCCCGCTGTCGTGCCAGATGACTCGGTGCCCGCTGTCGAGCTTGGTGACTCGGTGCCCGCTGTCGTGCCAGATGACTCGGTGCCCGCTGTCGAGCTTGGTGACTCGGTGCCTGCTGTCGTGCCAGACTCGGTGACTCGGTGCCCGCTGTCGTGCCCGCTGTCGTGCCAGATGACTCGGTGCCCGCTGTCATGCCAGGTGACTCGGTGCCCGCTGTCAAGCTTGGTGACCCGGTGCCCGCGGTTCTGCCAGATGACTCGGTGCCCGTTGTCATGCCAGATGACTCAGTGCCCACTGTTGAGCTTGGTGACCCGGTGCCCATTGTTCTGCCAGATGACTCGGTGCCCGCTGTTCTGCCAGATGACCCTGTGCCCGCTGTCGTGCCAGGTGACCTGGTGCCCGCTGTCATGCCAGATGACCCGGTGCCTGCTGTTGTGCCAGATGACTCGGTGCCCGCTGCCCAGCCTAATGGCCCGGTGCCTGCTGCCCAGCCTGATGACCCGGTGCCCGCTGCCCAGCCTGATGTCTTGTAGCCTGCTGCCCAGCCTGATGTCCCGGTGCCTGCTGCCCAGCCTGAAGTCCCTCTGTCCGCTGCCCAGCCTGACGTGCCTCTGTCCGCTGCCCAGCCTGACGTGCCTCTGTCCGCTCCCCAGCCTGACGTGCCTCTGTCCGCTGCCCAGCCTGACGTGCCTCTTTCCGCTGCCCAGTCTGGTGTCCCAGTGCCCGCTGCTTAGCCTGATGTCTCGGTGCCTGCTGCCTAGCCTGATGTCCCGGTGCCTGCTGCCCAGCCTGATGTCCCTCTGTCCGCTGCCCAGCCTGATGTGCCTCTGTCCGCTGCCCAGCCTGACGTGTCTCTGTCCGTGTCGTGTCTCTGTCCGCTCCCCAGCCTGACGTGCCTCTGTCCGCTGCCCAGCCTGATGTGCCTCTTTCCGCTGCCCAGCCTGACGTGCCTCTGTCTGCTGCCCAGCCTGACGTGCCAGCTCCAGATGCCCAGCCTGCTTCTGGAAATCCTGTGTCCAGCAACCTGCCTTCCTGCGGTCTCCTGCAAAAAGATAGGCCTATCAGCAGGAGACCCAGCCAGTCGCTTGATTCCGGCAGTGGGATGTCCAGCCAGTTACTGGATCCAGGCGGTGGAACATTTGTGCCAGTATGAACTGTTTGGAGCATCCTGAGGCCGCTCCTTGAGGGGGGGTACTGTCAGGAATTCTCGCCTCACATCATCCATCCCTCCTCCCAAAGCATTCATGTATATTTTCAATTTAGGTATTAATAATTCACTATATTTTTTATAGTACCTGTCAGGAATGGACTCGCCACTGGTGGTGGGACTCACCTGGCTTGTGGGCTGCAGTACCAGTGCTGGCCAGCAGGTGCTCTCAGCACCCAGAATCTCACTCCTGCAGTCAAGCCATCACCTGAGGCTGATTTCAGGAGGTGTATTTAAGCAGGACCAGGCCTGCAATCAGTGCCTTGGTGTATTGTTCCCATGAGCCCCTGTGCCTGAACCTGTCATCTGCCTGCCTTCCTTATCCCTCTGCCAGACTCCTGACATTGATAGAACTCTGCCTGCACCGACCTCGGCTATTCCTGACCACTCTCCTGCCTTCTCCTCTGGTACCTTGTTTGCCTGATTGTTACTGACCCGGCCCATCTGACTACGCTCTGCCTGCTCCTTTGTACCTTGTCTGCCCGATGGTTTCTGACCTGGCCTGCCTGACCACTCCACCTCACCAGCCCTGACTACTCTTGTCTGTGTGCTTGTACTTTCCGTTATCAGTTGGAGGTTTGGTTTTGTTTATATTGTGCGTTTATATTTTTGTATAGCCTCTAATAAATTATATTGTTTACACCATACTTGAGCCTGCGTTTCCCTGTGTTAGCCCACACACCTCTGGTCATACCTGGAGCCCTGACAGTACCTCACAGTATAACCGCCTGGCCCCGGGCTTTTCCCCATCGCTGTACTTTTTAATGCTGCTTCTATTTCTTCCTGTGTAATTTCTACATCTAGGGAATTCAATTGTACTTCACTTAATTTTGGTAGGTCCGCATTTTTTAGGTATGTTCTCAGTTGCAGTGTTATTTAAAGGGTCCTAGGGACTAAGTTTATACAACTTCCTATAATATTCCATATACACACCTTAGCAATCTCTTTAGTTGAATGAACCAATTCTCCTTTGGGGTTTTTTATTTTTTCTACATAATTCCTATTTTGCTTTTTCCTTAAAGCTCTCATTAAGTACTTTCCTGGTCTATCTCCCCATCTATACCTCTCGCCTAACACTTTATTATAGACTCATCTCCTCTCCTCCTCCATCAAAGTCTCTAGTTCTTCTTTCTTCTTTATTACCTTCTGCCTTATTTCTTTTGTTATTCTATTCTTATGTATCTTTTCCAAGTCAAATATTTCCTTTAAAAGCCCACTAATTTTTTCTCTTCTTTCTCTTTTCTTTTTTGCCCCAATCGCGATCAGAATTCCTCTTATATATAACTTATGGGTCTTAAACACTGTAGCTATCGACACATCACCTGTCTCATTCTCCTTAAAAAATCGCTTAATCTCTTCCCCAATCTTCTGATCAGTATCCTTATCTAGGAGAAGTGTCTCATTCAACTTCCATCCTAAGCCCCCTGTCCACCGCCTTCCCCACCCTAGTTTCATTATGACAGGGGCATGGTCCGAAAGAGACATTGCTTCTATCTCTACTTTAACCAAAAACTCAATAAATTGATGATCTAGCAATATATAATCCAGTCTTGAATACATCTCATGTGCATTCAAGAAGAAGGTATAGTCTCTATCATTCATATGCGTGATTCTCCAGATGTCCACCAGTAGGCACTTGTGAATCATCTTCTTCACTAATCTCAGAGACCTACCCCCCTCTCTCTGCACGGAAGAGGTTGCATCCTTTTGTGAATCCATACAAAAATTGAAATCTCCAGCCAATATCAGATGGCCTTTTTTAAAGTCCAACTCTTTCAACACACTTTTCAAAAATCTCTCTGGCCTCTTATTTGGACAATAAATATTAGCTACTGTACACTCACTTTCTTGTAGTTTACCTTTTAAGAACAAAAATCTACCTTCCGGATCTATCTTTCTGTCTTCTAACTCAAACCTTATATTCTTTGCAAACCCTATTGCTACCCCCTTTGCTCTCTTAATCGGGGAGTCTGCGTAGTACCATGTTGGAAAATACTTAGATTTTAACTTAACATTTGACTCTATCTCAAAATGTGTCTCCTGCAAGAAAACCACAGAAGATGCTCTGTGTTGTAGCTCTTTAAATAACCTAAATCTTTTTCCAGGACAATTCAACCCATTTACATTATAAGTTATAAACTGTATTTCTTCCATCCTTCTTAAATCTCTCTTCTTCTCCTCTCTCCCCACTCTTCCTCCTTCATTGCTTTGATAACTCCTCCAATCATGCAGAGTGTTAGCCCTAATACCCCTCCCCCACCGTCTCTCCCGCCCACCTCCCTATCCCGTCCACCTCCCATTCCATTCCCTCCCGCCCCCCGCCCTTTTACTCCCCTTCCCATTTTTAGGCTTCTAATTTGCCTACTGATCATTTGTGGGCCTAATCCCACCTTTGATTCAAACTTTGGGGTTTAACTCCACCCATGAACGGCTCTCCCTCCCTCCAACCTCCCCAATTACCCTCTATTTATCTAATTAACTCGATTAATTTCCACCAATCCTTAAGAACGGAAAATCTAGAGAGGGTATTGTAAGGAAGAAGAAGGAGAAAGGGAAAAAAAAAAATCAAAAACACCCTTTCCTCCTCCTTACTTTCCCCCCCAACTAACTGCCAGTCCTCTTTTCCTATAGCTCCTATTTCTCTATCTTCTTCTTCCCATCCAGCAATCTCCATTCTTTGCAAATCGAGTCTATCACAGAAGCCTCTCAAGTCCTCAGGAAATCTCAAATAAGCTGTAACTCCATTTTTCCATCCAATCAGGCACGCTGGTGTCCCCCATCTGTAATGCACGTTCTGCTTTCTCATCTGCTCTAACAGGGGTTTCAGGGATCTCCTTCTCCACAAAATCTCAGGTGTTAAATCTGCAAAAATCTGAATGTCTATTTCTCCATACTTAATAATTGATCTTCCTTTGATCTTCCTCTAAATCTCTTCTTTTACCCCATACTTATGGAATTGAACAATTATATCTCTCGGTTTTTCCTTCCCATTACCTTGTTGGAGCTTTCCTATTCTAAAAAACTCCATCCAATTTGATCAGTTCTATATCAGGTCTGTCCATTATGGAGTTTAAAATTTTACAAACTAATTCTTGCAATTCTTCCCCTTTTGAAATCTCTGGGACTCCTCGTATCCTAAGATTACTCCTCCTGTCCCTGTTTTCTTGTACCTCTATTTTATAAAGCAATTTTTTCTGAACTTTCCCCATGTTAACTATCTTCTTTTCTAATTCGGATATGTTTTGGGCCTGATTTTTAACTTTCTCCTCCGTTTCTTCCTCTCTCAATAACAACTGCCCCAAATCATTCCGGATAGTTGCCATTTCTTGCTTTATTGTTTTCTCCAAATGCTTAAACATTTCTGCCATCTCTTTTTTATTCGGTACTTGCAATTCACTTTCAAGTTCTTTCATCTCTATATTTCCTGTTATTTGTTGACTGCTACTGTTCATGCCCAACGATAGTCTAGGGCTGTTTTCCAAACTAATATCCACTTCACCTTTTTCGCTTACACCTTGGGACCTTTCTGGGGTCACATTTCCCTGGGATGTGTATTTTTGATCATACCAGTTTGAGACCCTTTGAGCCCACTTCCTTTAGCACTTTTGTTCTTCATGTCCTCTGTGGGTCTTATTCTTTTCTATGAACTCGGGATATGTACGTATTAAATATATATACTAGGGTCCCAGCCTTGCTTTGTTATTTGTCCATTTACTCTCCTTTCTAGGTCACTTAGTACTCTTCTCTTTTCCACTCCTTCATAACCCCTGGGAATCCCCCCTTCTCTCCTTCACCCTCTGCTTCTCTATACAGCACAGTGGAACATTTGGAATATAGCAAGCCCCAGCCGCTCTCACTCACCCTGCTCTTTCTTCCTTTTCTTCGAGGCAGCTCCGGGCTTCAGATGTCAGGCTCTTCACA